ACAAAAGAAGATAACATATTGGCTTGCTGTAATATGTAAATGACTAGAGAGAAAGGTTACCACATTTCTCTCTCCATTCCATGCAGTCTGCCTCAGACTAGCAGCTACCACTACCAGTCCCCTCCTTGTCTCTATTGCTGTCCGAGAGATATCAAGGAAATGGGAAGGAGAGTTTGTGATAAGCTCCTAGGATCACAATACAAGACAGGCAAGCGATCAATGCAATTAAAGTTGACAAAGGGGATTAGAATGTTTGAGAGGCCGTCTCAGATTTGTCATCCGTTATTGAGGGGTTATTTTAGTCTGGAGTTGGGACCAGGCAATTTTGGTTTTGGTTCCAGAAACTGAATCAAAGGTCTATTAATCCATGTACTTAGAGTGCATGAGGAACAGGTGACTGACAGCAGTGACACAAGTGAATAAAAACAGGCTTGGGACTTGAATTCTACTTATAGCATTTTTCCCCATTTAGGACCATATACTTCCCTCAGTCATCCACAACTCATTCTACCTATTAGTTTAAAGAGAAAGCATACAGTTGTTCAGGACCCAGCAATTTCATAGCTCTTAAAACCCATCTTCTATTGGTCTGATTCTGCTCTCATTTACATAAGTGCAAATCAGGACTAAGTCCATCAAAGTCAATGAAATTACACCAGTGTAAGAATGGATGTGTGGAAGGATCTTGGATTACAGTTGTTGTTTATGAGTAGGATCTGCATAAAGCAATGATTTAGAAGATCTATTCGGTGTTGCTCTAGTTGATCTTAAAAGGAAGATCATTTGTTACTGTAATATACAGTTATTAAATGGAGACCCCAGATCCCTCAAGAAGACCTCGTTAAACTCATTCTAACACACGAGAGTATAGTTGAAAGGAACCTTTAATGCATTAGAATGATAATCCCCCACAAATGGAAAATTTATGTGGGTGCATTTGTTGCATGATAAATAAAATGTATTTCACATAATAAATATTTTAAATATATATGTTAGAGTTAATGTATGTAAAATATTATAAAACAGGCCTCTTCTCATTATATTTAAAATATATGGTATGACACAATATGCTTTGACTGTCATGAAAACGGCCAATGTTGTAAAGTTTTAAACAGTCTGTATTGAGTAATATATTTTAAATACGTAGGTGCAATAAATCTTAATCAAATAGATAACATATGGGCAGAAAACCATGTTAGCCTATAAAAAGAGCTGTCCAGCCTAGAAACAGAGGGAGACTGAAAGAACAGTGCCAAACCTCAGCCTCAGAGTTGCAGAGCTTGAGTAGATTTGATGTGTCAGCTAACCAGACTTTATGAGGAAACCCCAGCCCATCCCTTCAAATACAGAGATGTAACAAATCATTAGTAAACTTCATAGTCAGAGAAATTCTTTGGTAAGAATCAAATTCCACCAAGTGGCTAAAGACAGCTTGTATTGCATGTGCATAAAAGAGCCAGGACATGGCGTGTCTGCTTGTGATTAATCACAGCTCATATGTGTATTCCATTAAATATCCAACAGGTCTCTCTCAGGCCCAGCTCCCGATTACAATATAATGTTCTGAACTCTTAAAATATGGTAGAAAACCATGTTTCCCATGCCTACCTTCATGCCAGTGTCCCCCTTTTCACCCTGTGCAAGGAGAACAGAGATAGAGCGGAAACGTAGATAGACATATTGAACAAAAAGAGAAAAACAGTATAATGTTAATAGCAATGACAATAGAAAGTAATTGATAGAGCTTAGCTTATGAGACATGCATGCTGTAGCTGCAAAGAAATGACCGAAGGATAAAGCACAATGACTGTAGCATCTTGAAGGCTGACTTCAGTTCATCCTTGCATACCGATGCAAGACAATGTGTAGAGGAGAAATGGGTGCATGAGAACGTTCTATACACACATAGGTGATCAGTGTCTATGACATTCATCACTATCCATTGGAGGCATTGACTGGGATTTTTAAAAGAGCCAAAGGGAGTTAGGTACCTACATCCAACTAACTTTTAATGGGAGTTGGGCGCCTTGCTACCTGAGGCCCCTTTGAAAATCCAAGGCATTTTCACTCAATCACCTCCAGTATCCAAAGCTAGAGGTTATATAAAGGAGCAGCTCCACTAACTGCCAGATCTGTTATGTTCCAGCAGAAGATAATGGTCTGTGCACATACAAGTAATTACATTATAACATCTACAAGTGACAGAGCACATTGGAGCCTGGCCCTGGTTCCAGAGAGCAAGGAAGCATTCTTGCCTTGAGGCCAGTGGCTGACAATTGTCCAGGCCCCATCTACAATAGGATCTTGTATGTCATCTAGACAGATTGTGCAAAGAATCTATTGAGTCTATCTAGACATTTATATCACATTGCTTACCATATTATCTGAGACTGTATCACACCCCTGTATACTTGCATTTCTGTAAAAGGGGCACATGTCTGGGTGGCAATAAGTTGCACTAAGCAGATGGAGGTACTGACTAGCTAAGAATTGTTAGTTTAATGGTTACCTTGGGGCCAATAGGTCCAGGAAGGCCAGGTGCACCTGGTAGGCCAGCCTCACCCACCTCACCCTGAGAAGAGAAGCAAGGAAATGGAGGGAGAGGCAAACACAGTCAGAAGGAAGAAAAGGGGCCTTCAGTATACCAAGAAATATTAACAAAGATGTGGGGAGGGAAGGACAGAGAACAGTCCCATAATACATGTGGCAACATAGCCTTCTTACCCTGCCCTGAGAGAGATGTTGCTTAGCAAGAAGCAAAGAGAGATGGAACACTGAGACAGTTCCTCACAAGTAGCCTGATTCCATCAATATTTAGGTGCTAGGAACACGTATTCCAATCCCTCATATGGTACATTTTATCCATGGCTGAAGTGACCATATATCCACGTGTCCAGGTTTTTCACAACTTAGTGTCCCAGGAACTTCTTTTCGGTTGCCTGAAAAGTCCTGGTTTTTCATTTCATCAGTCATCATGTTGGGTTGCTGGTTTTTAATAACTAGAAAATGTTTGTTCAGGCTGTATTGCTACATTGAGTAGAATTTCCCAAGCGTTTACCAAGAACAAGCAATCTAGTGATGCAAGTATTCAATGTGATGAAATGTTTGGAGTGAAGATAATGACTGCATGACTGTAGAGAGTATCAAAGCTGTTCTTTTGCTCAAAGTGAATGTTAATGACACTGGTCTGATGTTCAATTATAAACTCATTGAGAATGGTGAGTTACTGGAAAAAATCCTCCATTCTGAGAAACACACCTGAAAAAATCTTGAAAAAATATTTTTTTTGCCTTTTGCCTAGGTATTTTATGACCCTAAAACATGTTGCCACAAAAGTATCCTGGTTTTTAAATGTGAAGATATGGTCACCACATCCCTGGTGTCACAAGACTACCTTCAATACAAAAAATCAAAATGGAGGGAGAGATTTCTCCAAATCCTGAGTCTGCCCATTAGATAAGGGCAGTATAGAAGTTTCTCTTTCCTTTCATTGTCGACTCAGTGGGGAGGACTTTCTCCTCTGTGTTCATTCAATCCTGTGTTTCCTGCACACTTCCCCATTAATGAATCCCAGACCTGGGATCACCCTTCTCATAGTATGAAAGGAATTCAGACCCCTTGCTTGAGAAATAAATCAACCAGATTAACTGCCGTCCATAGGAAAAGATCCAGGTACAAACACCCACTAATATGCCATATCAGTGACATCCTCAGCACATTCAAAGGTTAAGAAGCCTCCTGAATGTCGCAAAGAGAAGGATGGATGGTTAATGAGAAAACCGACAGTTTGCTGAAAGAAGAAGCAGTAAATTTTGTGTGTGTCTGCAGGAATGGACTGTGGTCCACAGGGGCTATAATTTTCATTTCCTGACATAACAAAAACTTCTCAGTTTATGCAGAACTAATTAAAAAGCTCTCAGGTCTTGCCACTTCACCCACAGAGCACCCATAAAACAACGTATAGATAACACAGTATATACAACTGCCGGCTGTTGGGAATACTCACTTTCCTCTTCTCACTCCCTCATCCTCCTTGTCAATATTTCTCCCCCTTTATCCTCTTTCATTTCATTCTCCCCCCTCTCTGTCTGTCCTTTAAACTCTCTGGGCAGATTTAGCGCTGCTGGGGCAGGGCTAGCCACGTCTTAGGATGGGATTTAACCTCGGGGGAAGGTAGACAGCGTTTCCCCAGGAGAGTATCTTTAATGCGCTGTTGGAGTCTCATCCGAATCCAGCTGCCTGGGAATGACTTGAATGAGCATATTCCCCTGGCACCCTGGCTATGCTCCTCTCTGCCCAGCACCATCTCATTTTAGGGCTGCTCTGGCCACCTCTGTGCCCCATAAAATATAGGGAGTGCAAGTGCCTTGCACTGGGACAACTACCCTTTGGGCAGACCTTTCAATGCTAGAGATCCACACCCCTGGGAAATACCAGCTTCTGCCTGGTAACCTGTGGCTGAATCAAACCTTCCATCATTTAGTCTGGAGAAAGATACATACCAGGGGGAATGTAAATGCCATAGCTTGTTCCAACGCCATTCAGACTGGGTGGGTGGAGAGGGAGGATCTCCGCGCATGGGTGCACAAAATAAATTTTAGCCAGGAAGAAGTGACTCTATAGGGGAGCTTACAGCTTTTCCTGCCTCAGCCCCTCCCAGAAGAAATTGCTGCAGGGAAGTAGGTAGGCGTAGTGGCTATTGGGGATTTGCAACTATCTTCAGTACTCGGCTCTCTTAGCAGGAGTCACTGCAGGGAACGGTAGAGGAATGCCGGCTATGGGGGAGGTCAGGGTTCCTCCATACCCAGCCTCTGCCAGCAAGTCACTCATTGCAGGAAATGATGGAAGAGCTCTGGCTGTGTGTGTGTGAATGTGTGTAGTAAGGATGGCATTCCTCTGCTATTACACTTCCACCAGACTCTGGTTCACCATAATGCAATTTAAGATACTTGATCATCCAGTTGCTCTGCGCGCCTCAGAAGTTTACCTCCCCCTCTTACCTTCCTCCCATGGTATCCTTGAATTCCAGGGTCTCCCTGCAAAAATCAAAATGAAGACAAGCCGATGATGCTAGGCTGAAAAGGAAAAATCCCTGTCCTTTCCCCTGTGCAGATGTAGGAAGAAAAATAGGACACTGAGTGTGAAATTCACCCTTGTGCAAGAATCATAATGAGGCCTAGACACCATTTAATTCCCCCTGGAGCTTTCAAAACAGGGCTTATATCCTGTCTGAGTCCAATGCACAGGAGTGAGTTTTACTCTGTGTGAATTACAACATAATAGGAAAGCTGCACCACACACTGCAAGGCACAGCATTTGGTTTTGCTTTCAATTTATACAGTTAATCTGTCCTAACGCTGCTTAATCTTACAGCTCTGTCTGAAGTATCTCAAGGAAAGCAAATTGGGGATTTTTGCAGGCAAAAGAAATCTCACATTTTGTCAGTGACATTTCACAAGTTTGGCAAGTAAAAATGGAAAATTTGGCAAAATTAGCAACATGGCTACAAAATAAATTCACAAAATGTGGTAAATGTTCTATGGTAAAGTCCAGCAAAGACATGGCTTGCAATTTTTTTTCTCAATATTTCCTGATGATGACCACCTCCCTCAGACAAAACTTCCATTGAAAACAATAAGCCAGGAGTCTGGGATTGGGCCCTTAGTAAGATGTTTCAGTCTGGTTATGAACTTTTTCAGAAGTATTATGAAACAACCCTCTTTTCTCCCTCCTCCCCCACCTCTCCACAATGATCATGCCCAGCTTTGCTCACATCTATGCTAAGGGTTTTAAACTTCTTATCCTTGTTTTTGCTTACAGATGATGAAAAATGTCTCACCTTTGGTCCAGGGGATCCAGGTAAACCCTGTAGATAAAATAAGAACACATACTGAGGTAGGGAAAACTGCAAATATCTAGAGAAGTGGGGTGGGGGTAATTAATTTTCTACTGGGACATCAATCGCTGCCTAGTTTGATTTTAAAGAGTTCATCACTTTAGAATGTCACTGCAAAAATGATTCTCATTGTCGAGTAGATAAACTCTACGGTTCCCCATTTCAGTAAATACCAGCCAAGCCTCCCTTCCACAAGTACTATCCCAAACCACCAGTCTTTGTCTCAGTAAATTTGAAAATCAAGCTACTTTGCTCAACGTGTCATGGTTCCAGAATATGATCTGGTTTATTTTTCTTGTCTATCTTTAGCTCATTCCCAGCCAGGGCCGGCTCCAGGCACCAGCTAAAGAAGCAGGTGCTTGGGGCGGCCAATACCAAGGGGCAGCACTCCGGCCACTATTGGGGCAGCACGTCCGGGTCTTCGGCAGCAATTCGGCAGCGGGTCCCTCAGTCCCTCTCGGAGCGAAGGACCTGCCGCCGAATTGCCGCCAAAGAGTGGAGCGGCGTGATCATGCTGCCACGGCATTTTTTTTTTTTTTTGCCGCTTGGGGCGGCAGAAAACCTGGAGCCGGCCCTGTTCCCAGCTCACTGTCTATACGCACTGGAGAAACAAAACCATCAAAACTGGAAACTGGTAGTATTCAATAAATGGGTAGTCTCTTCCTTACCCAACTAGGTGATCTCAAAGGTATTAAGGGAGGGAGAGAGTTGATATGGACTACCTGTACTTTAGAATACACTATTGAATAACAGAAAGATCCTTTCTTCATGGTGGAATGTGCTACTATCAGATTTCGAATAGAGCTGTTCTTTTCTTCATTAAAAAGGAAATCTACCTGTGTGGCATGCTACACGTCTGAAAGTACTCTTTAGGGGCAGGAAGCATGGGTTTTACTGAACATGGTTTTCTTTGACTTGCCTAGTAGTGGCAATATGTTAATAAGACTTTCAGAAGGAAGCGACACCAGTAGTTGTGCTAAATTAGAAATAGCCATTCAATCTCCACACATATCAAGCATTAGGTACTATACATAGCATATAAATATTAATATCTAAAATTTCCATATGGCAGCTGCCCTTGTGATGTAAATGGTCCAAATGAGAAAGATGGAACAGATACCCCACATGTGTTCTACGGCCTGAATTTACAGTATTTTTGCCTGTTTATGGCCGTTTAGATGGCTACTTCGGGTTAAAAGATCAAAAGTGGGGATTTTCCAAGTCTTGAGTCTTCTGCCTGTAGATAACATGCACAAAGAGGCTTCTCTTTCCTCTGTTGACTGCATGTCCCTTTTCTGCAAGCAGGTTTGAAACAGCTATTATAAAAATTTGGGAATGAAAGTATCTTTATTTCCTAAGTACTAGGTGTCTGGCACGCCAGCATGCCATGCTCCTCATTGTTAGACACAGGAATTGAGTAGTTGTTTCGTGTGCTACTAAGGAAATAGCAGGTGATAGGCTGTACGTCTTCAACCATTACTGAGGCTTTCTGTATCTTGTTGCATGTGAACAGCACTAACCACAAGTTAGGCATCAGCACAAGCAAGCCCTAATTTTGCTGTTCTTGTCCTGGTAATTTTTTATCACAGATCCTTATGACCTTTCTCCATTCCTCCATCCCTAACTTATTATAATCAGCATCTCTTCTCAATTACTCAATCCCTAGACATTGTTATCATTCTAGGCTACATAAAAATGTATTAACACAGAGGTGAAGTGAGGGGCTCACAGGGTAATGATCTGAAGAGCCTTTCACATATAGGTTACTAGTTCCAACCCATCTTAGATTGGCAAAGACCAAAATTCATGCCTAACTAATGGTTGTTTGGTGGCCTATATGAAATGACTTGGTGGTTTCACTCAGTTCCTAGTGGACAGATGTCAGCAGTTGTAAAACCTCATAACTGGTATTTTCTTTGGCAGAGAGACCAAGGACTGAAAGTCTATGGAGACTAAATTACCTGTCACCCCCAGGAGAGTCCATGTCAGGTTTGAGGCTCATTGATGGGTGGGTCAGTTTGGGAAAAGCTAGCACTGGCAATAGCCATGCTGTATATATTCTTTTCTGGACAGAAGACTTCAATGTGAAGTGCTTCCAATCATGTTTATCATGGAAAAATATGCTAAGATGCCTCTCCACAGTCCCTGAGCAAGGAACTTGGGTGCACCCTGAGAGCAGAGCCAGCATAGGTGACCCCCGGTGAATGAAACAGACAGCAATGGAGACATTAAGTGCAGCCGCCCAGTTTGCTGAACACTTGGTTCAGCCCTGCAGGCATGTTCCCCGTCCTCAGGCATTAAGGAGCTGGCTGCATTCATGCAATGAATGCTGCATGCAGAAGAGAGAGGAGTGAGGCAGCTCTACTGTACCTACCTTTCCATCCTTGCCTGCCTTTCCAGGCTCTCCTGCTTTGCCCTGTTGTGAGAGGGAAAGGAACATTAGTGACAGTATTTTCACCTTCCAAGGCGGCTAGCTGTCAGCCTGGGAATAGAACAAGGAGCAGAACATCAAAGAGATTTCAAGGGCTTTTTTTAGTCTGGTTTCTGCTGAGAGCAGGCTAATTACAGCCGGAGTGTTACTTCCTCCCCGTGGCATAGGCTGGAGAGGAGGAAATGGCACTGGTGTCACCGTCTCACACATGTGTGTGCAGATAGGGATAGCTGGAGGCATAGAACTCCTCCCTCCCTGCCTGGGAACTCTTTCCTCCAGCCTTGCCCTGGGAAATGGCTTTTGGTCAGTGCACCCAGCTCAGAGGAGACAATAAAAGGCAAAGGAAATTGCATGCATGTCAGGGGAGAGGAAGGATAAATGCTGCTTGTTTGGTTTCTTTTAAACTTACAGGTGGCCCAACTGGGCCAGGTTGTCCTGGATTTCCTGCTGATCCAGATGGTCCAGTTGGCCCTGGTGGACCAGGTGGCCCTGGCGGACCTTGAATCCCCGCCTGTCCTTGTTCACCCTGAGGTTCATTAAAACAAGGATTACCATCAGGCAGGGTTAACTCATAGCCCAGCATCCAGAGTGTGTGACATACAGCAGCTCAGCCAGAGCAAATGAAAGAGAGAGAAGCCAAGCAAGTTACAGTTAGCGGCAGGAGAGGTTTCCAAAACTCAGGCAAAGGTCCCCTTTTGATGGTCTTTCTGGGTGGATGATGGGAGCCATTTCCCTGTAGTTTGCAACTACATTTTAAAGCTCCTAGTCAGAGCTCACTTAGGCTAGGTCTACACTACAGCGAACTTCCGACCTAAGATACGCAACTTCAGCTACGTGAATACCGTAGCTGAAGTTGCGTATTTTAAGTCGGCTTACCTGGCGGTGAGGACGCGGGAAAGTCGACCGCTGCCGCGCTGCCGCCGACTCCGCTACCGCCTCTTGTCGAGGTGGAGTTCCGGAGTCGACGGTAGAGCCATCAGGGATCGATTTTACCGCGTCCTCACGAGACGCGGTAAGTCGATCCCCGATAAACCGATTGCTACCCGCCGGATCGGCGGGTAGTGAAGACGTAGCCTTAGAGGAAATGTGAAAACTGGATCAGATACTAAAATAGTGCCAGGAGCAACCCAAATACAAAGTAAACTGGGTTTTTAAGTTTAAAAAAGTGTGATTCATTTTATATAATAATATTGAGAATCCCCCAAGAATCTTTGAGCGCTTTCCATGTGAGGATCTTAAAGCACTGTACAGTCAGTGATCACTGAAACCTCACAGTGCCTTCTGAAATAGGGGACTACTCTCATTCCCATTTTAGAGAAATCAAGCCAGGGTCACTCTGTCACTTACTGGCAGAGCCATGAGTCCTCAGTGTAATTTTTCCTCATACTCTAACCATTAGACAACACTCTCTCAGTTTTGGCATGTGTCTGCTCTTTCTTAATTTCTTTTAATTTGGAGCCTGCCAGAAACAGGAAGACCTAGGATTCTCATGAGAAAGCCTATTCTTGTGAGCCTTAAAATCCATTTGATTTGGATAAGGTGCACAAAAGCATCCAAACTTTTGGGTGCTTATCTGAACTAAGCCTTTTGTAGCTGGCCCATCACATGCCACCTCAACAGCCAGTGTCTTGGATTCCCCAACATTCTAAAGCATTCATGCATGGCTTTTGCCTCTGTTGTCCCAGGGTGGGGGAATCAAGAGTCATAACTGGCTGGTGGTGAGAAGGTAATGATTTAGAAGGATCCCATTTAAATACCAGACCGCTGATCTATAAATGATTAATCCAGTAAATTCCTAGGGGACCATGACACTCAAGTTAAGCTCCCTGCTTTCTCATTTTTTATCATTCCCTCTCCTTTGACACAGTATCACAAAGTCCTAATATCAGTGTCAGGATTTAAGTTCAACAAGCTTCTCTTTGTGATCTCACTGGAAGGCCTGAAATACAACATAGTAATTTATTCAAAATGAATATATGGGTTTGGGGCTATATCACAGGAGATAAAGAGCATTGTCTCCGCTGAACTTGTACTGCGCAGAAGATGAAGTTGTTGGATACAATGTGGTTCCACTCACATGCAGTCATTATCCACATGTGTGTACAATGCATGTAATACATATCCCATGCACGTAGTACCAATCCTACATCTATGCTATAGGTATGTGTTCTTGTAAGTCAGTTATGTGATCCCTCTTCCTACCTTCAGTGTCCTTAAGTTTATAAGCTAACAACAAGCATTACATAAAAATAGGCTTGTTCAAGGTGCCCAAGGAATGGCCACAGCTATTACTTCATTAGCCATAGTGAATTCCCCTAGAACTAGTAAGGAACAACACTGACCAGCAGAAAAGGACTGCTTTATAATAATGGAGACGCTAACACTGTAATGGGTGAGGATTTAACCTGAATGAAGGGGGGGTTGGTAGCTGGTGGCAAGTCAGTATAAGGACACTACCATTAGAGGGCACCAGTCACATTAGCAGCAGACCTGGTCGAAAAATTTTCGACAAAACGGTTTCATTGGAAAATGCAGTTTAATCGAAATCCACAAAATGTTTTTTTCAACAAGTTTTTTTGATGGGAAGAAGGCAAAACAAATTGTTTTGAATTTCATTTTGTTTTGATAATGTCAAAACATTTTGTTTTAACTTTATCATTTTGATCCATTTTCTGTTGATTTTTTATATTAAATATGGTATATTCTATTTATATATTATAGTTAATATTTTATATAATATAAAAGTTGAAACTATATGAATCAAAATGAGAAAGTTGAAATGAAACATTTCAAGCCCCTTAGTGACCCGGCCTCCCCTCTGTAATATCCCTCCGTATCCAATCAGAATAGCTGGTAGTTCACCCTGCCCACACTATGGCCTAGGGAAAAAGAGCTTTATCTTTCCCCCTTTCTTTTAAGCAGTTTCCTAGTACATCCTGGGGTCTTTCCATAGAGATACATGAGCCTCCTTGAGCTGAATGTATATTCTATAGCCAGTGTCATTAAAGGACTATCAGCCATACACCTTTACATATTTTTTTTTTTGAGTGAATCTGGTTCCGATAAAAACATGAGGCAAATAGCCTTGGATAGAGTTGGGCAGAGGCACACTACAAAATTCCCAGAGACCTTCTTGCTATTGCCTCTCATTCCTGACTTATACTGCTAGCCCTGGCACACATCTCCTGAGCACACCCCTACTCACTGTTCCAAACATGGATGAGACTACATTTATTTTCACTTCTGACCCGACAAGGATCTGAAGTTAAGCCAGGCGGATGGGGAATACATTAACCCTGCTGAGCTATCAAGGCTTTGGATTTGGCATAGTTTTTAAAAAACACATTTTAAAAACCTTATGAATATGAAAACAAACTATTAGTTGCATACTAAGGTGATAAAGTTCACCTCTTTGTGTTTTAGCCCTCGCTGGTACTTTCAGTTGCTAACCCTATGTCTTACTGAGACAAGGGGGAATCCTATTTGCCTGCTCCGTCTCCCACTACTCAGACTGTCCATAACTGGAATGGGCCCTCTGTTGGATGTGGCTATCCACTTCTTGTAATGACCGGGGCACAGAAGGTGCTAATGTGTGTATATATGTTAAACCCAGTTGCCTTGATGGAAATTCACGCTGGCAGCTGGCAAGCTTTCAGAAAGATACAGGCAACCTTCTTTGGTGGGATGCCTGAGCAAAGCATATGCCGTCACTGCAGTGTCCTTGCTTTTTTGCAGGGGACTTTGTTTAAGCAAGTGCTCCATATAGACAGACTCCTAGACACATAAAGCTTAGTTACTACATAATTATATTCTTATTAGTACTTTCAGCCTGGAAAGACCCTTTAGGATTTAACTGGAATGTAACTGAGTAGATAGAGTAAGTTGGAGATCAGATATCATACTTATCAGATGTCATTTAATATTTTTAGCCATTAATTGGTGCTATTTTTCAGTTTTGTTAAACACCAATTAGTTGCCTAGATATTCCTTGTGGATTCAATGTTCTCTTCTCCCTCTAACAGGGCTTGCAGCTAACCGCTGCTCCCCCCACAACAAATTCTCTGTTATAACACTCTTGTTGGTATAGTGTAAAGCAGCAGCAGTTTTTCTTCCAACTACTGGTGGTCATATTTGTTTTACAGCTTCAGCTCTTTCTAGCATTCCAAATGTTTGGCTCCCAGGGTTCATATGACTTACTATTCTGCTGTGGGGAGGCAGGATTTGTCAGAGGGGGCTTACATTTTCTGCTGCTTACAGAGTGAATTTCACAGAAGCTAAATGAATCATATACTTCAAATTCACACTTTTTTTTGTAATGCTTATGAGATTTACAGTCCCGGAGAATGAAGCCAGGTATAGAATGGAGTGCAGCAGTGCAAGCTTCCCTACCTGGCCCAGGAAATGAACTTTGGTTTAAAAAATCTTTCTATCTTTGCTTCTCTTTTGAGACTACCAGCTAGGGGGACAACCAATGCCAGCTGTGGTGGTTTGTGTGATGTAAACACCTGTCCAGTAGAAACTGGGCTGACACCACCAGTTCATTTCACATGGCTGAAAAAACACCAGATGATTACTCTAGGTAAACGGTAAACTGTACTGGGCATAGACCAGTAGCCTGGAAATGAAAGGCTGTATAGGGAATACCCATCCCTTGAGACATCCTGCTTTCTATATCTCATACACAGTGAAAACTGTTTGAAGTGACTGTGCAAAGGAATGACAAAAATCAGCTGATAACATGAGGTGGCTCAGTATGTTTTAAAACAGGAGTTTGCCTAGTAAGCATGGCTTCTTGCACCAGTTTTACAGCACTTACTAAATTTCAAAAAGGGATCTCTGACCAGCCATTGATGTTGTTGCTGTGCATGCAGGAACTGGCTCCTTAAGGTAGCAGTTAGGCTTATCCATGACACTACCTCCTTTTTTACCGCATTTTTCTTTGAGTCATATGTTTCATATTTAATTTGTTTTATTTTAAAAATCTGGATTCACTATGTTTCTGTTTAGACACATTTTCCCACCAAATATATGCTCCATTCTAAAGAGAGCCCCCTGGCTCTGCCAAAGTCTTTTTGAAACCCCTTCTCAAAGGAAGGAAAGAAGCTAATTAATCTTATGATTCGGAATAGGCTTAAAACAGGCAAAGAGGAAAAAGTGGCTACCTGGAAAGTGCGTCTCTTTATGACCGGGGGTGGAGCCAGCCGCACTGAATTGAGGAGAGGCAACAGCTGAAGAAGAAGACCGAACCCGAAGGTCACAGGGCAAAGGTCACAAGGCAAAGGAGTCAGAAGGACATCAAGAGAGAGCAGCCAATGAAGAAAACGAAAAGATAGGGAAAAAGAAAGACTGTAATGAGAATAAACCACAGGTGAGAGATAGTTGTGAATGGCACAGGGAGGGATACTTGTCATCGGGTACCGCTTGGCAAACCTCTGAGCTCTTCTGTATTGTACTTTAAACACAGGAAGAAATACCTCTGTGCTGGGCCTTGCAAGGCCCTGGTTTTCCTTGAAGGGACTATAATTTTGCTACCCCCTTGGTCTTTCACACCCAACCATTCTATCAGTTCTTTCTTGCTTTCTATCTCGGCTCAGAAAGGAAACTTACCAGGAGATTTCTTGTGTCAGCTTCTGCTGCACTCCTCAGATAATATTTATTGTATCAAAACATAAATATTCTTCTCCCCAGCTCCCCAGAGTTCCCTTGGGACAGTGCTGTTTCTCTCAATTGGTCCTTATTAGATCTGGGGCACTTATTAAGACAGCAGTTTGCTCTATGTTTTTAAAGCTCCTCTTGTCACCTGAGCTCTTTGGCAATTGCGGCTCCATATTTCTGTGACCCTCATTACAAGAAATATATTTTTTCTCTGGACATCGTCATGTTACTAGATAAATCTGCAATGAATTCTCTACAAATTACAAAGACTGGTGACTATACAGTTACCCTCGCTACAGTTCACAGTTATCCCCTTTTCTTCCCTTACCCCAAGATTGTCCTCCATGTTCCTTTAAAAGCCCTAATAATCTTGCTATTTTCTTCCTCGTTAGACCTGCTCCTTCAAGCTATTGTGGGATTCCACCATTTAACTGGTTGGAGGGGTCAATGCACAACAGTGAAGGAGTCCCTCCCAAGCAGAGACAAAGTTCATCACCTATTCATCAACCTCACATTTCCTGCCAGGGACAGCAGTGAGAGAATGAGACCAGTTTGTGAACTTATACCCTTTTATAGCAAAGCAGAATTCTATTAGGAGCCATCTCACTTGTTCAAGATCCTTCATTTTCTTTTGCTTCACAAAGACACTCCGTATCATCATGACCCAACTTGCAAGTGAATTGAGATGTCCCCTGATCACCAGAGGGGATGAACTTTTGCCTCACAATATGCTGAGCCTGCACTTTGTGTCTCCTTGTTTAACAGTAACAATGGCTTGTGATCCGTTTTGGACAAGAATCCTCTCTACATCACAAAGCTGATCCTCACAAATCAAAACCATGTACTAAAGTTCTGGGTCTTCTGTTCACCCTTCTACTGTATCTAATTTTCACTTCCAAACATGCTCCTGTCTGCCTGTGCACTCAGGAAGCTGCTTTGAACCACAGCACACGGGTGTTGACAGCACTGATTCAAACACCAGGAATGCTCATATTAGGCCTGATTCTCTTTCCCATTTACCTAACTCCATTGAAGTCACTCTTGATTTATAGCAGTGTAAGTGAGGGGAGCAGCAAGTCCTCCATGTGTGCACACACAGTACTCCTCTCTGTGGGTTTTCCCTGTCTGAACTGTGAACTCGAGACTGAGAGGTGTTGCCCGCAGGTCTCCCACGACAGTGATGATGTGCATCTAAGCAGCACGCTCTGCTCCCCCTAAACATGGGTGTTTGTGTTTTACTGAAAGCTCAGACCCAGTCTTGTTGCAAAGTGAAATGTCATCACAATATTGCAGCCTTACAGTCCTGCCCACTGGGCAGTTTATATAAACAGTAAATACATACTTGAGGTAAACCAGTGGCGAGAGCCTCTGACTCAGAGGACCACAATTAAAAGCAGATTTACAGACCACATTAGGGCGCACTGAACCTCAGAAGAATTAAATATGATAATTTCAGCTTTTGAGGTGAAGCTATATGATCAACTGAGCCTTTGAAAACTTGCAGTACCCGTGCAGTCAGCATACGTGGCATCTGTAAGGGAGTAAGCAGCCATGTTTTCAGTGCCAGGGCTCTGGAGACCAGTCAGTCTCTCAGAGGCAGTCTGCACTGATGGACTTTTTAATGTTATCCTGTCCCCTAATCTAACACAAGAAAGCATAAGCTATCAAGAAGTACAAAATGGCCCTAGAAAATTGACCAGGCCACTTTTGATAGGAGCAGGTTCTCCTCTGCCAAAAAGCAAACCTTTGTGAAGAGTGGGGTGAAGAACAGAGAAAGGAAGGGCTGAAGTGGGATGGGTGGGATTTTGACCAGAGCTCTCATGGTACTAATTAGGTTGTTCAGCGCCATGTGTGCATTGTGTGGAATATGGCCAACACCACTCAACATGATGCTGTATCACAATGGCTGGAAAATACAGAGATATTCTAGAATTTTCTTCAGCTTGGTTTGATGAATGGATATTTCCTTTGGGGCATTATCAGGACAACGTCAGGGAGCAAGGTAATATAAGAGACCAGCCTGGTGGTTCAGTGGAGCATTCTGGATTGGTTGCCTGTGTAGTGGGGGCTGGAAAAACTGTTACCTTTCAGGTGGGCAAAGGAGCCATTTAGCATCTCCTTGTAGTAACTCAAGTGAATGATCTGGGAGTCACCAAGATGGGATTTGTGTGTGTGTGTGGGGGAACACCGTTGTATCTCATGTAACTCTATTGACTCGAAGAAGTAGTGGCTGAAATGTGCTGGCTGGAAGGAAGGGAGTGGGAGGGGCTATTCAAAATGGGTAAGGAAAAAAACAGCATGGAAACTCAGGAGCCTATTTAGTTTCCCTTCTTCAAAACTGACCATAGGTGAGAAGGGACCTGGCTATGAATTTAAGTACATAGAGAGCAAGCATATGAGGTGTGGGTAAGAAATGTATTTCAAGCCTCTTTCTTCTGTCCCCAGATTTGCATCCCCAAAGTCCCAATGGCAAGTTCTTTTCAACACAGAGCATGCAATATTGTATCCACATCCTTGTTTCTTTTGCATCAGAACTGGGTCCAGTTAGACCATTACCCACAAACCTTTAGTGTAAGGATCTGATTAGAGCGCAGGGCTGCAAGTGTTGTACTTAGGTATTCCTAGGGGATAGTGAAGACACAGTGACACAGAACTGGGTCAGTTAGATACACCACATCATCAAGAGAAAAAAGAACTTTACTGGCCTGACTATTCTGAGACCAGGTTCCATTCCCAGCCCTAGACTGGCCATTGTGATTTTGTAACATGCTCTGATGACCCAGTCTGTCTTTAAGGATTATACCGTGTAACCTCCTAGTATGGTCTCTTTACCCACGGGAATGTATGTCCTGTTTGCTCATAGGTTACACAATAGACTGATGGTTTAAAAAATGGGCCAAGGCAGGTTAAGAGGGAGCCCTGACTTTAAATTCCCTCTCTTTAAAAAAACCAAAAACCTGTCCCTGTTGTTATCATATTTCTAATTCATTGTCCTGCCCATGGCATCTGATGATGGTAACTGCTGCTTGTGTGAACCAGACAAATTCTAAGTTAGCCAAAAAAGTGCATAAAACTATTTAAAAGGGGACTTTTCTTAATGTTCATTTCCCTTTTTTTTTCTTATAATGAGGAAGGGAGGGATATCTGTGCATAGGGTGGTCCACATCTACTATTCCCTTCCCCCTAGAGCCCTCTGGCTCACAGGTATATTCAACACAGGAAACTGGTCTGAGGGCAGTTGTCACACACACGTCAGAAGCTCTGACTCAGACAGGTTAAGCACTTCCATACCACTTTTTAAAAGATTGGATTTGGTGCTCCTATAGTCCTGGATAGAGCCAAGCAGGGCACAGGCAGGCTTCCCTTGCCTAGCTTCGCCAGTGTGTGTCATAACTCTAACCTGTAGCACCTCCTGTGTTACAGTCCTGGGCCTTTTTTAAGTGGAGACTGCCAACTATTGATTGGGTAGTGGTGGAATTTAAATGTGGACCAACATCCAGCAATGACTATGAACTGAGACCACTTGTGACCTCAGTCAGGTATAAACTGAGGTTATTCCTCTTAATTTGTAATCAATTTCTCCATTTCCTAATTGTGTTGAGTCCCTGCCCCCGCTTTTCACTTTGAACAATGTGGACAGTCTGGAGCCAAGGGCTGTAATGGAACCCAGGACACTGCTTAAGTGAACATTGTTGTTACCTTTTTTTTTTTAACATAACAATCTAGTGAGATGGCTTGTCTAAATAAACACAGCTGACCTTCTATTATTGTATCGGGGCCGGAACACACGACCACCCTCCTCCCCCCAACACCCAGATGCCACTGACAGGTTTGCTTTCTACATGCAGTCTTCATACCAGAGTCTTGGACCACCCCTAACCCCACTTCTCTCTGGGCCCAGGGCCAGCACCCGATCTAATTGTCCAGAGACTTTTGAAAAAATAAATAGAAAGCTTTTAAGCCTGTCTCCCTGTGCAAAGTGGTTACAAGTTTCAATCCTCTCATATGATGTCCTTCCAGTGCATTTCCAATGGCTTTTCAGAGCTAGAGTTGTTTTTAGTTTTGTTTATGCCTGGTTAAATTCTATCCCTATAATCCCCTAAACCCCATGATATACTCCCGTCTCTCTTGAAAGGGCAGGATGGGGAAGCAAGTGGGGCTACTTCCTGGGCTTAATAAGATTATTACCAAAATAAATAAGTGTCCCTCCCCTTTTCCAAGCAGTGATGTGCAAAAAGCCAGGCGGCATCTACAAGATTACAGGGAATTCACTGGGAACTATGACAGAACTGGATGTCTAACTCTAAATGTAGACCATAGGCATTATTTACTGGGTAAAGAATTTCTACCCCGCCTCCCTCAAAAAACTTCCCGCCCCTCAGTGAATACATGGACTTTAAGTGTTCTAACTATAAATACATAGGCTTTCCAGGCACACGGCCAGTTTTACCCATTGCCTTTCACTGATTTGCTCTTGAAGCCTACATTTCTGCAGCCCTTTATGGACCAGATTGTGCCCTCTGGATCTGCACATGGAGGGGGCACCCATGGAAGTTTCACCCAACTTTAGCTCAGCCAACTCTGCAGCATCATCCCTCCCTTCGGGCTCTATAGAAGGCTCTCCACATGGTCCAGGGCCTGTGCTGGAAGAGGAGAGGGTAGAGAACAAAGGGGCTGGGAAGGGAGAAGTGGCCAGGACAGTGCAGAATCAGGGCAGGAGATGCCCATTGTGCCCTGACTTGGCCTTATGCAAATTAGGTGAAAAAGATAACAGAGCTCTTAGCTATATGACATTTCCCTGAGGCCCCCCAGACGTCCTAGCCATGCTGCCAGCAAGGGCACTTACTAGGGTCCAGAGATGGTATGGAGGCACAAAGCCTCTGAATGACCCTGGGGGATTCCTACAGATCCCTAGGGATCCACCAGGTTTAGGGGTGCAGCCCACATCCTTTTCCTCATGAGGCAAAGCCTCCTGACAGGGTGATGTTGGGGGGGTTCTCCATGAGGGGATGGTATGGGTATATATCTGGAGGGCTGTCCTAGTTTAAAGGAATGAAATAAAGTTGTAAATCCCTCCTAGAAAATTCTTCCAACAACACGTCAGTCAGTAAAATGGCACTTGTGGGACACATATGATGGACCTCATTAATGAAATATCCTACATTCCCATATAAAAGTCATTCAAATAAACTAGGATTAATGTGCAGCAAGCCATGGGACAGCTAATAACAAATACTGCTTACCCTGTGTGGGTAGTCTCCACACTGGCCCTGTGAATGGAGGGGATTAAAAGAAAATAGTTTAAATTGTGAATGCAGTGAACTAAAGTAGGCATATGGGGTCAGAGCCACAGCAGATAGAAATCAGCATGGCTACACTACAGCTATGCCAATTTATACCAACTGAGCATCCAGTGTATTATCCACTACCCCTTTTCTCCCCAGTGTCATCATTTGTCTTTTGGCCAGAGATCCACAGAAAGCAATGGACAGACAGACACTCTCTCTCTCTCTCTCTCTCACTCTCTCTCATTTTGAAATGTACCCAAAATACCATTTTATAGGATTTCCCAGCATATAACCCATCAGATTTTCATTGTGGCTGCTGGGTCTTCACAGTTGGGATAAGATTTAAAAAAAATAGGATCCTAAATTCATATTTAGGCACCTAAATAAATGGTGATTTTCAAAACTCTTGAGCCAACATCACTCAGCATTTTTGAAAATCAGACCTCTTATTTAGAGGCCTACATATGGATTTAGGAGACATGCTTTTGACTTCTAGTTTTGGAAACACTGTATTTTGTTATTAGTGTCAGGGACTTTTTCTTAAAACAATTTAGGAAAAAATAAACAAAACCTCATCAAAGCACCTAGGTCTCATGTTGCTCTTTATCCATTGCTGCTTTTAACTCTCCTTCATGCTTTAAAATGCTTCTGTTCTGATTACAATGTGACCATGTGGAAAACATTTTAGCCTCAGTTAAAATTATGAGTATGGTCAAAAAAGGCACTTTGGTACAGCTCACATTGGTACATTTGGTATAGCTCTATTCTGAGTCAGAGCTGCATAATTTAGTGAAGAAAAGAAGTTTTTACTGTAAACTCTTTAGCTATAGAAGAGCAGGCTGTATTCCATTCAGCCTCAGGCATTATCAACAGCATTTCTAGAGGAGTTCTCAGTCCATAATCTTTGGCATTGGTCATGACAGGAGTTGATGTATGAAGCAGGGGGAACACAGCTTGATTTTCAGATGTCCACAGGATGAGCCCACAACTAGAAAAATCTTGTCTGTTTTGTGAACTGACCTAATTTGCTCTGAAAGCCATAGCCGAAGGCTATGGAACACCAAGATGAATCACTCAATCATTTCCCTGCCTTTTAAATGTCATTATAAACCCAGCTCCCATTAAAATTACCTTTTCTCCTTTTTGTCCTGGAGGTCCCTGTGAAAGGAAAACAATTAAAAAATTAATTAAAGAGCACTGTGCCTATTAGGGGGAAAGTGCCAAAAGAAGGTAGATTTACAAGAAGGTGATAAGTTCAGCACTTACCGGCTGTCCCTTGGGACCAGCAACACCCTTTAAAAAAATTCATTGTTGTGAGTTATATATATGCTTATACATTCAATGACAGGAACATTAAACATCTCAGCATGTGGCGTGTACTCAGATGGAAAAGTGGCTTTTTAAAAAGTCTTTAGCCAAAAATTTCTATGGTAGATCTCAGTTCCCCTTGCAGTGTTTCTTACACTGGAGGAGCGAAGATGCACAAGTCCTGCAGCTTTACTGAATGGGGATGCCAACAGGAGAGTGAAAAATTAAGTAGTTATATGACAGCCACCCTCTTGGCTGACACACTGGGGACTGAAGCAGGGACCTCCAGAACCAAAAGCATGAGTTGATACTGGAGCAACTTATATTCTCTGTGGATCAGCACAGAGGGGCACCAGTAATACAGATGCACCGGAGGGTTACATATTTCATCTGCTCAAAGGATGCTCATCCTCAGCATCTGAGGCTCCCCAAATGAGCCCCCACTTATTTGATGGCCGCCATCTTGGCTGACATAGCAGGGATTGAACCAGGGGCCTCAGAACTAAAAGCATGTGCTGCTAAAACTCTCTAAGGAGGGGTTGTAACAATAGCCTCTGTGGCATGGCATGGCCCAGCAGGGGACCTCTAACACACGCTCACCAGCGGGTTCAGCTTCACCTATAGCTTTTCTTTTTTAAGGCCTAATTCTAGCTATGTGTTGGGCACCCTCATGTTCATTTCCATAGGAACTGAGGTTGGTTAGTGTCTCTCTGCAGTTGCTCGGCACCTTGCAGCTTCACTCCTGAATAAATTAAAAGCCAAAGTCTGTGCTTGAATTCCCTCATACAATTTTCATTTGCTTAATTGAGAATCACATGTGTGCCCTCAAAGGGCAGCATTTAGTCCTACAGAAGGATGGGCTCTAACTACAGAAGCCAATGGGAGCATCCTGTATAGGTCAGGCCCATTTTAACTCTCTATTTCCTCAATGTGATGTTTAGGAATACTCCGGAAGCATCCTTCATGACTGGATATAGATTTATTGATTCTAATGGATTATATTAAATACAAAATATTTAGCACCTTGAGCAGTCAGCTTCTGTCTGGCACAAACAATGATATGCCCTGTGCATGCAGTATATTAATGAAAGCTACTTGAACAGTAAGGGGACACAGAAAGCAATTAATTTGCAAAGTAGTGTTAAATCAGTAATTGCTGGCCTTTGTGTCAGGTCAAGCAGGAGCTTGGTAAGGCTCTGGCTTGCACTATTTTGACAGATTCTAGGGAGAAAAGGAAGGGAGAGATATAAGATTTTACTTTAGCTTCAAGTGGAGAGTAAGAGAGAACACCTGCATTGCTTTAGTTCTCTGTCTTGCATATCAACACATGGACTTTCCTTGAATAAGCACACATAGGCAGAATAGCAGTACAGTTAACAAAATGGATATTTTTTGGAAGAACAAAAACAGTAAAAACTGAGTAACCCAAAGTGTGTCCAGTTACCTATATGTAGCTGATATGGTTGCTGGCTGCAGGGATATTACTAATTGCTGGCTTTCCAAATTACTCATTTGAATAACCGTGTGAATAGTGAACTCCCTGAACCATGTGAAAATTAGAGCTGGCCAAAAAAAATCGAAATTTGAAATTTTGATGAAATGAAGGAAACTAACACAGATACATATTAGTTTTAAACATCTGTATCATTGTGATTTCACAGCTAAAGTTCTTCAGATATCTCAAAGTCACAAGGCCTTGTTTAGGACACCATAAAGTACATGCCAAGTTGGTAGCATTAAAATTAAGCCATTTTGGATTTATCAAGAAAAATCTGAAAACTCATCTTAATAAGTGACAAATGTGCTTTTTGTTGTAGTTCAGAAAACCCAAAATCTGCTAAATGGGTTTTTATGAAACTTTCCATAAACATTCACTTCTGAGATGAGTCCAACCATGAAACATTTCAGTTCCCAAAGTATTTTTAAAGAACATACTTAGTAACCGAACATAAGGCTTAATAATGGAAATGACATTCCCATGTATAACTATAGAGTTGCTATTGTGACATGATGATACAGGTACTCATCATGTAAAAATTATAGCTAAACCTCCCAGCTTCTGCTATCATGATTTTATTATATTAGCTAGAAAGTTAGTATGTTAGCAGGAATTTGGGTGGTTAGTATGCAGAGATTACTCATTTCATTTGAGTCAAACTCTAGTTAATGCCCCTGAGGAGAACCAATACAGCCCCAAACCAACCCACTACTCCCTGAAGATACACATGTAATTTTTACCATCTCCCCCTTCTGTCCAGGATGGCCCTGAAAAGGTAAAAGAGTGTGTGTTATCATTATAGAATCAGGCCTAAACACTGCATTTACACATCCCCTTGCTGTGGCTGGTCATTTCATTTTGCTTATTCTTGGTACCAAAGAAGACATAATGTTGTACCCATGTAGCCTCATAGCAAGTGGATCATCACTCCTGATCATTCAGGTGCAAAACACAGAAAATAAAGCTTTGCTGATGAATAGCATGGACATGTGGTGAGGTATTTAGACCCTCCCTAGAGGTTGACAAGAAGGGGTTAATGCTCGCCTTTCGACTAGAGGAAGGAGCACAGCTGTCTGCCCTGATTGCAGTGATGTGCAAGGTAGCAGTGCTCTGATTGATTAATTATCCCCAGCAGAGTATAAGAGGGATGCTTCTGCGAGCTACTGAGGGATGTTTCTGGCAATGAGATAGGATCCTTAGTATGTGGTTTGGTGCCAGGAGGAGCACTGGGTGGGGGATTGTGGTTTCTTTTTCTTTCTGAAACTTGGTTGCAGTGAGCTACAGTTTAGACTTTTCTTTTGGACATGCCTGAAACAACTCATGCCTTGTTTCTTGACTGTGGTTGGGAGAAACTCTGCAGTATCTGTGTTTCCCTTTTAAAGGGGCAGGACATTATTTACATTTGTTTGTCTGTTTTACAACAAAGCCCCCCCCCCAAAAGGGGCTTGAGTGCCACAAAGGTTTTCAGAATCCTTTGCTGTGCTGGCTGACCTGTTGCAATGTGGGGGAGGAATAAACCATAATGTTCAATTAATAGCTAGTCTAGGCTGCAGTGAGATGATATCTGAAGCTTAGGAAACTCATTCTATTTGTCTCTGTCTCTAGCTGTAACTGCTGGAGGTGGGAACTCAATTGCTCAGTTAAGTTTAAAGGGCAGCTTCAGGGATAAGTGCTAGTTCATAGGTGAAGCAATAGGGTAACCAGAAGAGCAACATCAGTAGGGCACCTTCCATGATTTACTGATGCTCTGAAGCCTCTCCAGGGGAATTTGGTGGTGGTGTTCTCCTGCCCACAATCTTTCATATGCAAATTGGCATGCACACACTTTGCAAAATAATTCTATACAAATTAATCTATTAACAGCCTGGCTCAGAGGACAGGGGAAGTACTAGACAAAGGGACATGAACAGGGAGAGAGAAGCTGTGAGGGAAATGTTTCACTTACTGGTTTGCCATCCAAACCAATCGGGCCCTGAAAGAAAAAAGAGAGCGCTGATGGGGAAACTAGTTCATTGGTGGTTTATGCATTTGCCCCACAAATCTGGGTGGGGACTCAGTAGGATACAGATGGATTACACAGGATATGGCAGAAAGAACAGTGGAGGAATGATGTGGCTGTGACTTTAAACAATGAATCACTTGAGACGCAGAACATAGGAGAAAGAAAGCAAATTGACTAACCCAGTGGAGTGCTGCTATGTGAGAGATTTCTTATCCTGGTCTCTCACTGGTGGGGTGTGCTGCACAGCCAATGTACCCATCGCTCAGTCCCATGGGGGAATTTCTTGTCTCAGTCACTAGTGGCCTCTGGCTAATTAAGGAACTATCTTAATGGGCTCTGAATGGCCCTTGCAGTTCTTCTTGGCTAGAAGGATGCTGGCTGTGATGCAAGGGCTGAAGTGTGAGGGGCTGTGTAGGAAAAATGGGGGGGTCCTCAGGACTCTGGCAGGATTACTGAGAAGTTGTGGAGAGGGGCAGAAGTGAGGGGAGAGGAAAGGATAAAATGGGAAGATGGGAGTCATGCACTAAAACACCTTTGAAGGTCTGGGCCCTGGTTTGTTTTTATTTTAACTTGATCTGGGCTTGTTTGCTCCCCTTATGCTTGGACATCAAAGTGTGGAGAGATCTGCTTCTCCTCAGTGCCTTGCTCCTACTAAAGTGAGGGTAGTTTGCAATTATTGGCCACCTTTCAGAGAGGCAGGGCAGAGAGTCCAGTGCTCAGTGAGCATAGAGACTGCAGATTCCTCGTTTTTTTGTTCCCCTCCCCCCGTCCAAGGCAATTGCCCGCAGATCTGTGATTATACACAGCAAATCCTTGAATAAAAACTACCAAGCCCTCAGGTGAACTGAGCAGGCTGGCAGAGGGGTGTGTGTGTGTGTGTGTGTGACAAAGGTAGTTCAGTTATCAGAATAAATTAACAGAAAATACATAATGAATACAGTTTTGGAACAGAATAGATGCTGTGGATGGTGCTGCAGGACCAACCTGCCAGCAAGTGTGGGCCTGAAATGGGAATTTCTTCATCTTCAGAATCTGTTTTTCACGTCATGGCCCACTCAGGTTATATCTGTAATTTACAGTGCTGCAAAAGAAATTCCAGACATGCTTTTACCCTCTTCCTCTCCTGTTGCCTGGGCTTTCAGCCTAGCAAAGTCAATAGCTGAGCCACGCTGCACAGAGCCGAATGAATCTCAGAGGCTCTTTGTTATTACAATATCACATTGGAGTTCATTAAGGATGGAATTTCACTTACCTGGGGTTTATTTTCTTTATTTTGGTTGTTTTGGGGTGTTTTTTACAGCACAGACCTGGCGTCAACCATGGTATTTTAACATTAGGGTTTTTAAAAAATTTAATTTCCTTTAGTGTTGTATCTTTGTTTTTTAAGGCATCATTAAAAAGAAAAGAAAATAGTAATGAAACAGAAAAAAACTTTTCAATTACATTATATTGGGTCCGTGGTTTTGGATGGAAATGCTGAAAGGCACTTAGCTTTAGTGACATGAGCTGGCAATATTATACACTTGTACCTCATAGATTAACAGTTCCACTTACCGGAAATCCAGGAAAACCTCTCGTTCCAGGCTGTCCCTGAGAAGAATAAAATGGAGACAGAGAGGTTTAAAGAAATCTGAGAGCAGTGCAACATGTCTTCCTAAAATTGCTCTGTAGGGCCTCAGGGTTTGTTATTTTCCCCAACCTGATCTCTGTGTAATATCACTGCAGTTCTCAGTATAGTCACCCAAGACTCAAGTGTGTTTTAAGAAAGCAGGCTACTGGGGAGCCAGGGGAAGTCTCCAATCGCAGCTTCGTTTTGTACGGAGCCAGGACAGTGTTGGAGATGGTCCAATTTGGACTCCGAGTACTTTGTCTGAAGTTTCTAAAGTAATTAAATGGGCGTTCCTAGCTGACACGCTGGCCTTCTGGAGCATTTTCCAGCTCCTAAGCTCTCTTTATGGAAATTCCTTGCATAGCCACATGCATGGCCATAAAATGAGGTCTTTAATACTGAGTGATGTGTAGTGCAATGTGCAAACCCTTGCAGCTCACCAAGTCTATATCATCAAGACAAACTCTATGCTATTGCCCCAGTTCATTAATTTTACTCACAAAGAAAATTTTGTAGCAGAGATTCTGAAAAATAAAAAGGGATTGTATGTAAAGTGAATGGGTGATGTAAACAAGCCCCTTCCCCTCTCTTCTTTTCCAATAAGTCAGTTTCTGATTGTCAATGCAAGATCTGAATCAAACAAAATGCAGCAAGTATTGGCAGATCACACAATGGAGTGACTGTCAGACTACTTGTCATAGATTCAACCACATGCAGACAATTAGAGGGTGAAAGCCCCATGGCTGCTAGTTTGCAAAACACTAAGTGCCAGAGCACAGATATCCTATAAGTCCTGTTTATTTAAGGGTAGCTGAATCCTGATTTAGCTAGCGATGTGTGAGCCATCTTGGAAAGAATAACAACAAATTTCAGTCCGATCCTGAAATTAAGCCGTTCAGATTAAAATAGTTGAATGAAGTAAATTCTGTGCCTCTCTCTTCTTCTCTGACCCCTGAAATCCATTTTGCAATTTCAATAGGTCTAGTTCTCTCTGCTGGGCTAACTATTCTCTTCAGACCTTGTGCATTCTGGGACTTTCCAGCTGGGTGAGGTGGGGAAGGGAAATACCTTCTAGGGCACTTTTAACCTAGGGAAGTCGATAAGCATATAAGATTTGAATGAAACAACGGCTGGGACTGAACATAGATTATGACCAGAACTTTGATCCTCACAGTGGAGTATCAGTGAAGGTTCAGGGCTGTTTAGCAGTTGAGGTGAATGACTTGGGAGCCGGATGCATATTCAGAACGAGAGAGAAGAAGTTGGGAGGTCAGGTGCAGGATCTGGCTGGGTTGGGAGAAAAAGGGGGTGCAGGGAGCAGTGGATAAGGAACCGTTCATGATTTTGGTGGGGCTCTTCGGAAATTGTGAGCCTGAGTCCTTTTTGAATTCCTCCATCACTGTAGTTAACAGTCCTATGCAGTAGCAAGGGATTAGCTCACTAGACAGTGTGCAGCATTGTGGAATTAAGCCCAATAGACTATAGAAGCAAGGAATAGTCAGAGCACATCAATGCCCAGCCTTGCCTCTTCCCTCCTTTGGCTCCCCCGACATGTGCTGGGGACTGGGAAAAGGGCCAGATTAGAGCCCCTTTGGCAGTAGAAGGAGCCTTTACCTCGGGGTATTCCACAGAGAATATTTCCACCCCTTTACAGCCCCTTACGCCTCTGGAGTGACATAATGGGACCTTGGCAAAAATGTAGAGTTGGGCCCAAAATCTTTTTTGCAGAGCTCTAGAGAACTACAGCTACTATAAAATGGCTCAAATTGCACCAAACAGTAATGTTGTTATTCAGAATGCTAGCATGACTGAATCATTCACATGGTTTTTTTAAAGCTTTACTAAGTTGAATTTGGTCATAGTTGCTTTGCAGGATACATATAAAACCACCTGGATCCGTTGGCTTGTGACCAGAGGAGAAGATACGCTATAAATTTAAGGATCTGCCCAATGCTGATTTCCAAAAGGGTGAGAACTGAGAGGATCTCATTAATAAATCATTATTTTTTGGACTACTCCCATAGACAAGAAGTGCTAAGAAAAGAATCAAGGAGGAAACCCGGAAATGGTGCAATTTGGCCTCTGCTACCTTTCTTGTAAACTATAAACTGCTTCCTTTTACTCCTTGGCTAAAGTCTGATGTGTACAATAACAGGCCAAAGCAAAAGTTGACCAACTAAAGATTCCAAGAAACATTTTTTCCTTCTCTTGTTCAAATGTTGTTCATAGCAAGTATATAGTCCTGGGAATTGCCAAATCATAGAGATTGTCTGTTTCTGCCACTGTCAGCACAATGCTTCTTTCTGGCCAGAATGCCTGAAGAGAAGTTAAGCGGCAGAAAACTCTGGAAGTGAAAACTTGAACCTTCTCTTTCCTCTAAAAGAAAATCTGGAAACTATTTGTCATCCCACCTCTTTCCAAAGTGGCCCCAACCTCCAGCATTTGCTTATTTATCTTGGGCATTAGGTAATCTTTATACTTATCACCAACTCTTCATGAAATTAAATCATCTTTTCAACAGACTTTGGGGGTGGAAGAAGTGAATTTTGCCAGTACGGGCTTGTGAAGTTCTGGGGTACAATCCAAACCAGTAAGGGGCTGTGTCTCATAGACTCATAGACTTTAAGGTTAGAAGGGACCATCATGATCTTCTAGTCTGACCTCCTGCACATTGCAGACCACAGAACCTCACTCACCCACTCCTGTAATAGACCCATAACTTCTGCCTGAGTTACTGAAGTCCTCAAATCATGATTTAAAGACTTCGAGTTACAGAGAATTCACCATTTACACTAGTTTAAACCTGCAAGTGACCCACGCCCCATGCTACAGAGTAAGGCGAAAAACCTCCAGCATCTCTGCCAATCTGACCCAGGGGAAAATTCCTTCCCAACCACAAATATGGCAATCAGACCCTGAGCATGTGGGCAAGACCCACCAAGCAGATACCTGGGAAAGAATTCTCTGTAGTAACTCAGAGCCCTCCCCATTTAGTGTCCAGTCTCTGGCCATTGGGGATTTTTGCTAATGCCAGTTGCTGATGGGCTACATGCCATTGTAGGCAGTCCCATCATACCACCCCCTCCATAAATGTATCAAGCTCAGTCTTGAAGCCAGTTAGGTTTTTTGCCCCCCCCCCAGCTCCCCTTAGAAAGCTGTTCCAGAACTTCACTCCTCTGATGTTTAGAAACCTTCACCTAATTTCAAGCCTAAACTTGTTGATGGCCAGTTTATATCCATTTGTTTTTGTGCCCACATAGGTGCTTAACTTAAATAACTCCTCTCCCTCCCTGGTATTAATCCCTTTGATGTATTTATACAGAGCAATCATGTCTCCCCTCAGCCTTCTTTTGGTTAGGCTAAACAAGCCAAGCTCTTTGAGTCTCTTCTCATAAGACAGGTTTTCCATTCCTTGGATCGTCCTAGTAGCCCTTTTCTGCACCTGTTCCAGTTTGAATTAATCTTTCTTAAACATGGGAGACCAGGATTGCACACAGTATTCCAGATGAGATCTCACCAGTGCCTTATATAATGGTATTAACACTTCCCTGTCTCTACTGGAAATACCTCACCCAATGCATCCTAGGACTGCATTAGCCTTTTTCACGGCCACATCACACTGACAGCTCATAGTCATTCTGTGATCAGGCAATACACCCAGGTCTTTCTCCTCCTCTGTCTCCTCCAACTGATAAGTCCCCAGCTTATAGCAAAATTCTTGTTGTTAGTCTCTAAATGCATGACTTTGCACTATTAAATTCCATTCCATTTCTATTACTCGAGTTTAAAAGGTCATCCAGATCTTCTTGTATGATATTCCGGTCCTCCTCTGTATTGGCAATACTTTCCAACTTTCTCTCACCTCCTGCCCCACAACCTTAGATGCCTCACTATGCTTTACTGTTGTAGCTCTCAACCTGGGCCACTCACACACAGCCTACCAGCATGCAAATCACACCCTGAATGTCTGTGTATAGCTACAGTCCTGGTCCAGCAACTCTGACCCCAGCAGCCTGTCAGCAACACGCCAGCCACACTCTGGCTTTCACCAGCCTTGGTTACTACTTGCAGGGTAACCCCAACACACTCCCAGTCCTGATTTTTCCCAAAAACGTGTGTTCTGCACTGTCCAGCCCCTCCTGGGCAGTTCAGATATAAAAAGTCCATTGCTCCTGTAAAGGGTCAATATTCAACCGTTTGCGACTTTAACTGGAGTTACCAAACAGATCAGTTTAAACACAACACTGGATTAGTTTAGATTAAAAATAAAGCACATTTATTTAACTACAAAGAGAGAGATTTTAAGTGGGTACAAGTACAAGATATTAAAGTCAGAAAAGGTTACAAGAGAAATAAAGATAAAACTCTTTCTAGTCGCTGAAACTTAATAAGCTAGACTTGGTTCAAGGTAATATCCCAGCAACAGAGCTGACCAAATTCTCTGATCAGGATCTCCCCCCAAAGTCAAAGGGCTGGTTCCTTTGTCGTCTTAGGTGGAGAGAGAGAGAACCTGGTGTGTTTTTGCCCCTCACTTTTATAGTCCTGTCCCCCTTTGAAATACATTTTCCTGAGGGTTACCCCTAGATAAAGTTCATTCCAGCTGTGAAGAAGGAAACAGGGAGTCTCGTGGTAAAAGAGGTTTCATATTGTTGTTTGCTAAAATGCAGATCGATCTGTTCCTGCCCCGCTTTGTTGCCAAAGAATGGCCACTTGACAAGTGATTGCCAGTCAACTTTGATGACACCTGGCTAGAGGTGTCAGCTTATCCTTTGTCTTTGAGAAACTGGTTTACCCACTCCCCAGACTAATCTGGTAAGCACATTTGTAGTCATAATTTCAGTTTATGTTCATAACTCCTAATAAGCATTTCGCACATACATTACACAAGAATATTGATGATCAATGTGTCATTAGCTTTTAAGTGATACCTCACAAGGCATATTTTGCACAAAGATTATTACACTAATGTGTAGGATGTGTA